AAATTGGAGGCGTACAAGAGGAAGCATAAGAGAATACGGCATCCAGTACAGCACACACGCTCGTACCATGTGCTAAGAGCTCTGTGGTGTCCAACCCAACCACTTCTATAAAAGGGCCAACACTAGAAACCCAAGGGAGCATCGTCAAAAACCACCATTCATGAACCAGAAGCCATTCTCCAAACCTAACCGCCGCCATTTACCATCTCATCTCCATAGCCACCACCATCGTCATCACAGCAGCAATTCACCTCCAAGTTAGACATACTTTTAAGTGTTTATCGCATCCGCCAACCATTGTAAGACATATTGTGAATAAAACATTCATCTTTATGTCTTCTCCAATGATTTTTTCTTGCAATCCAATCGTCATGTGTGAGTAATTTGATAAGTCAATGGGTTGAGGGCTAGCCTTGCAACCCGATGTATTTGCATGAGGGGCTGATGGAAAGACTTGAATTAACGTCATGTATACGTGTGAGAATTGCATCGTAGTTGTCTCTTGTCTCTTTCTTGTTATTCGACCCTACGGGCACCCAGGATCACGAAGTTTGATCAAGGAGGGGGTTAGGAGCAAGGAGGATGTGCAATGCTATTTAGAACACCAGTGACATACAAGGAGGTTGCGATAGCGGAAAGTTAACCTAAGGGGATGCATGAGGTTTAGTCATTAAACACCCAATGTGTTTGTCTAAATTATAATCTTAATAACCGAGGTAACCCCGCGCGACGGTGAGGGTGTGTGATTGGACAACTGACTTGATACAGGCCGCGAACCGGCCAAGACGTAATTTGGACACATCCTTCACTTCGACTCGTTGTAAGCACATCTTAATGGGTGTCTTTTGGAGCATAAATTAAGATCATGATGATCCTGATCGTAATATATGATTGTAAGAAACAAGTCCTCATATCCATGCTTGTCTTTATTTACAAGTGTTTTAGTTCTAAGATGTTAACGATCCGGTCTAAAAACTAAAATTTAATTCTCGTGCAAAAACTTGGTACAAGCCCTTCTGGGTTACAACTTGTGGAAAGACAAAGGGAATCTTTTTGCTACCCGTGGATAACTAAAGGGACTCATCAATGGACTCGAGAATGGCCTGCTGCTTCACCGTCTCCATCGCTTGGGCGAGCTTGAACTGCGCCAACGTGTCCTCCATGCCAAATCCGCCATGCTCGTCACCTCCGCCTCCCCTTCTTCCTCTGGCGCCTCCATCTCTTCCATCTTCTCATTCGACGCCTCCCCTGTTCCATCTCCTCCGGCACCCACTCCCGCTCCCTCTCCTCCTCCTCTGAAGAGTTTGGAGGCAGACCGGCGGCAATGTGAGCGGCGCGACGTGCCTAGACGGCGCACATCTCCCCCAGGATCTTCGCCCAGCGCTTCGGTGTCAGCATTTTGTAGTAGGTAATCGTGGGCGGCATGGACCATGGCGGTCGGCGAACGACGAGGTCGGAGCGGATTGGTGCGCTGTCAGGGGTCACCGTGGCAGCGCGGACGAGAAGGAGAGGAAGGAAATGGGGCTGCTTGGGTTGAGCCTCGTCGTCGAAGCACCCATGATCATCATGCTTTGTGGACGGAGCAAGAAAACGCCCGGCGATCCAGACAACGCATGCTACTTGGAACTCCTGTACTCTCTTGACGGTGACCGACCCGTCCCACTCCCGCCTGACAACAAGGTCAGCAGCCATCAGCCCGTCGTTGTAGAACTGCTGTGAGCCCATGGCGAGCCTCACGAGGTCTATCCTCTCTTCGGGATCCAATCCACACACTCGTCGTCCTCTCGAGAGCGTGCCTATCAACTTCTCTGTGTTCTGGACACAGTTGGACCCCAACATCTTTGCCGATGGCTATGGATCTAGAACTCAGACCAACTCTTGGCACGGAGAAAATGAAGCATTCCTCCTCCTATGGCCATGTGAACTCACTGCACAAGCTATGATGTGCCTACGGTGGAAAAAAAAAAGTAGGCGAAACTACTACCCTGAATTCAGCAGAAAACACCAGAACACGCATGACACAATCGTTCAATCATGGCGAAACTCAAACCTTTCCTCTCGTCCGTTTCTAACACGCATGAAGCTGACCTTCACGCTGCATATGAATCCAGAAACAACGGACCACCATTGGGAACTTCACGTAGCGAACAGTGTTTTGTGCAGACCAGCCCCGTCCAATCTGACCTTCCCGCTAGGGGACCTCGAGCCTGCGAGTCCTGAGACTTGGGCACTCCTTCACACAAAAAGATTCTCTGGGGCTTTGTCCTGAATCTGGGAGTAGAGGTCTGAAGAACCAATCTCAATGCAGACCTGCTTCAGATGTCAGAAGAACAAACCACTCTGGAGCACTACAGATCTGGTTATTAACAATACTAATGCTCTGGACCGGTGTTAATTAATTGCTGAAATACCAGGTGTGAATTGGCAATGCATGGACTCACAGGCCAGATCTGAATGCAGCCTGCTGGAGTAGTAGATTGCAAATGCTACCTGCTTGATCTAGTGGATGCATTGCCTTCAAAAAGAAAAAAAAATAGTGGATGCTTGAGAGGCTGGCACTTCTTATCCCTTTCCGGTTAAAAATGATGAAAGAGCACACAGGGGAAATTCATTTTGGCACTTAATACCCGCATGATATGACGCTGAACTCCACCTGACGAGGCACCTTTGCAAGGGCAAATCGCTTATCAGGATACGTGTGATGTCAACTCTTCAGTCGGATAATATTCGGCCAGCCACTACCAACCACAAGGTGCAACAAGCAATAAGATGACAGCTTCAGTTACATATGAATTCTTGCAGAAATGGTGACATTGAGCACAGAGAATGCCATTAAGCACCAACAGGTTGACCTTAAACAAAGACGGAGCACCGAAGCAAAAAGGTGTTTAGACCTATTTACCAACTTGTCAGTTGGATGCCAAGAATTTGGTGTAGCTTACATTTGACAGATAATAGGGCAATCAGATGATTCAATCTCAGAAAATTATTAGTTACTCCCAGGGAGTACTTAGTTAGAGCAACAAAGAGATTAAAGTGTCCGATGTGGCAACAGTAAATGTGATGAAATTATGGGTTCGGAAATGTTACTTCTCACAAATCCACGAACAAGGAAAGAATAAATTAAGGGGTGTGAGATTCAGTGACATCACAGTTAACAAGCAAGAAATACACACAGGTGGCATCTGTCAGATATATTTAAATCTAGGAAAATTGAATGTCTGGAAGGTAAATTAAATGTCGCTTACTAAGCTGGCATAAGGAATATCTGTACTCTGATCACTAAAGGTTTCTGGCAACCCAGGAATGAAGCAAAGGATGATGCGTTGCTTTCGCTTGTTCCAACCTTTTTTGCTTTTTATCATGATAAAGAAAACTATCTTTTCTTTTGTGAGAGTAAAGGGATTCTTGAAAGGGGAATGTAAACCCCCCAACAAAGTGTTCATCAAAGGAGAAGACTTTGAGAAAGGCAGCAGATGACTGGTGAACTAAAGGCAAAAGAAATATGCTCAGCTGGAACTTAAATAAGTAAAGCCTCTGATAAAAGATTACATTCTCAATCATGAGAACTTCATATGGCTGTAGATGTCCATCACTGCGCATCAGATGTGCAGATGGGGAAATACTAGGAACCTACTACCCATTGGCATGAGTTCAGATTTTAGGAAGCAATCCACCATGGACCTCAATTTATTACAAATCTAAAACAAGCTGTTCTTCTGCTTGTTAGTTAAGTATACTTAACTCAGGACAGTCAGGGACATAAAACAAGACAGTCAGGAACATAAATGTACATCAGCAATTTCACTGAACTGCCTATGGCCTAAAAATAGTAGGTGTAGCTCATCTGGAAATATAGTGTGCAATATCTGAAACCTGGCTGACTACAACTATCATAAAAGGAAATGTGCCAAATCATAAGTAGATGTAGCTCATCAGGAGAAGAATTAGTTAGATACGAGAATTCAAACATATGCGCAGTGGGCTCTTGTAAATTACAGCCATGTGCAATTTCTGAAAGTTACAAGTGACTTTCTTTAATAAGAAATCAATTCCTTCGAGTTATGCGTTAACAGTTTATTTTACTCAGTACAGTTGCTTGTAATATTATATGGGTTTGCTCAGCCATATGAAGACTAGTGAATCATAAAGGTATTTGTGAAGGGAAATGCATGAAAATTCAAACCCAGAACCCAGAAACAATCTACTCGTCTTCCTAACTTATCCAGTGAGTACCAGCCTACTCCTACCTCAGTTGTTTCGGTAGCAGCCCCAGTGAGTGTCCTTCCCTTAAATCAGCATCCATAAGTGTCTCGTCTATGCATCGCAATTAGGTGCGATCTCAAGACATTTGCACCATCCAACAAACTGAAACAAGAACCTAGATCAAAGAGCTACTTAATGCTAACCAGTAACCACCGTTAAGATAGCACCATCTTTGAGTTGTTGGTTTCATTAGACCTAAGAATTATCCCTATACAAAGAAGATTCCACACAGTACCCTTCTATGCGACAACATATAGTTTAAATTCTAAAATTACAATGTTCTTTCTCCTACATGGTTCGGAAAAAACAATACAATGTTCTACAATTCATGAACTGTTTCAGAAGATCTAATTAGTACTGAAGCAAAACTTAAGTAATATCTATCTTTACATCTACTGCTATAGAAGAATGGGAAGATTGGAATTAAGAAGTCAATACTCACTTTACTTTGAGCATTCTTGGAGGAAAGTTTCAGGCATATGAAGATAGCTTCAAACCGATACAAGAACACAAGCAAAGCAGCATGCATCAGAAATCACATGATCCCTAAGCTATCACAAATTGGCGCAATACAGTAAGGTGGCATGACTACGAAAAACTTGTCTCCCCATGAGATTAACCAATTCCAATGAAAACTTCAATATGAAAATTAGACTAGAATAATTATAGGTAAGAAATTAATGGAGTGGCACTAAGAAGAGAAATATTAGCTAGTATCACAGTACAGAGTCACATCACATGTTCAATTTATCTCCGGTGCCACCTCTCTTCATCCATGGAAGGCTCCCCGCTTCTGAACAATCATCTGAGCCGGCAGGTAACTTGCCCTTGAGATTAGACCACTGCCAAATCTTGGACATGGAGAAGCTCTCCCCTTTGTTCCGTGCGCAAATTTTCTTTCCCTCCATAATGTCGGCATTCACAGAACTTATACCCGGAGGTCTTGATCTCATCGCACCATTTCTTGTTCGGCCCGGCTGGAGAGCCACCTGAAGCTCAGAAGTCCCAAGGACATACTGGTAGGTGCCCATAGAGAAGCATTTCCTTGCATCCAAACTGCTGCTGCTACTCTCCCCTTCCTCCCTCCTCAGCACAGCAGAATCACCATATCCACCCTCGACAGCACCCTGGGTGCCGACATTCTTGAACTTCCCAAGCCTCACCGGGAACACTCTTTTCTCGGCCACCGGCGTCTGCAACCCCTCCGAGGACTTCTGCGTGGGCAATCCGAAACCATCCTCGCAGCACTCTGACAGCCGCCCTTCCTCTAACCCCTCATCGAAATCGAACATCGGGTTATTCTCGGCTGTCAGCCCTGGGGCGAAGAGCACCCCGCGGCAGAGCGGGCACGTCGAGTTGGACAGCAGCCATGTGTCGATGCAGTTCAGGTGGAAGGCGTGCCCGCAGAGCGGCAGCAGCCGGAGCCTGTCCTCGGCATCGAATTCGCACAGGCACACGGCGCAGTCGAAGGGCTCCTTGTCGCCGCAGCCGCCGCCCACGACGATCTCCCGGTAGGAGAACACGGGCAGCGCGTCGATGAAGGCCTGGTCCAGGCCGGAGTCGTGAAGGTGGAACAGCTGCTGCAGCTGGCGCTGCAGCGCCGCGTCGGCCTCCCCGGCCCCCTGTGCGGCCGCGGCCGCCGACCCCCCTCGGCGGCGGTGCTGCTTCTTCATGAGCAGCCGCACGAGGAGGTGGAGCAGGCCGGAGATGAAGAACACCACCGCGAGGATGACGATGATGAACAGCACCGCGGGGCTAATCTTGCCGCCACCCCCGCCGGAGGAACCCTGCTGCGCCTGCGGCAGCGGCGCAGGCGGCGGCGGAGCGGCAACAGCAGCGGGGTAAGAGTACGGGAGCTCGTCCCTGGCGACGAAGGCGCCATGGAGGCGGCGCGCCACTCGGTACGGGTACGCGGCCGCCGCCGCCGCCGCGGAGGATCCGGGCGAGGACGAGACCGCTTCAGCCATGTCTCCTAGAGGCTCCGCCACCCCCACATCTCATCTGATCCGACAGGCCAGAGATGCGATCTTTCGCGAGGAACCGGCAGCAATCCCGGCCGAAAAGGAGCGCAAAAGCGGAGGCGGACGGCACCTAAAAGCGGCGGGCTGGTGCAGCCCGGGGGGAAGCGTCCAAGGCGCTAGGGACCAAGAAACCCCCGGAGGCTTCTTCCGGTCGGAGGGCGGGCAGGTGGACACGGCGGGGAGGGGGAGGAGACGGAGGATTGTGGTGGGAATCGGTGGCTGGTGTGTGGGGAGAAGGGGGAGGAGGAGTGGAGGGGAGTGGTGGGAGCGCACGAGCTGGGGCGGGGGAAAGGCGAAAGCGACGGCGGTGGCGAGCGGTGGCGTCGGCCCTGGGAAGGGAAGGGCTCGGTGGAGTATTTTTTGTGGTGGTGCGGTCGCTTTCAGCCGCAACGATCGTTGGAAGTCGCGGTCGCGGGGGCGCCGGTTGCGAGGACAGTAGAGGCGACGCGCTGCGCTGCGATGGGCCCTTGCCCTGCCGGCCAGTGCAGGTGGGGGCCGTGGCAGCTTGCTGGCCTGTCCGGTGTTTGAAATGGCTATGCCACTGCTGCTGGTCTTGACTCGTGCCAGGGCCAGGGCCAAGGCCGGCGTGTCACGCTAGCACCGCGTAAATAGAAAGAAATCTCTACTATTATCTCACACAAATCATATTTTTACCAAAATCTCACCTAAATCAAGGCTTTCCTTTTTTTTACCATACTCAAATCAAATCAAATCTTACCAAAATTTCATTAAATCAAAACTTTACTTTCTTTCCCTTATCATACTCAAATCAAATCATGGAGGTGTTTGGATCAGAGAGTGGTAATGGGGAATTACATCACGCTGGTAACGTGAACGTAATGGATGCATCTCTGTTCTGTTTGGTTGATGCACGTAAAGGAATCAGAGTTGCGTGTCTGCTTCGGCGTCGTTGCGGCTGGTGGCTGCAATGGAAGGAGAGCATACAAGGGACGCGAAGGAGAGTAGACAAGGGAGGAGGGCAGAGGACTGGTGACAGAAGGAGGAGGGAGGGAGCCTGCACCTTGCAGCGAATGGTCCGGCCAGCGTCGAGGGCGAGCTGGGGCGGCGCGAAAGGGGTGGCGATAAGGAGAAGACGTGTGCCCGATTACTCGCCGGCCATCAGAGATGGAGGAGGTGGCTCGAAGGGGATCAGGGAGGCGGTCATGGGAAGAGGAGGAGCATGCAATAACGCAACCCTTTACCGGGGGTTGTGGGTGGTATCCACCGAGAATTGGGTTGTAAGTGTTTACGGAGGCATCCCATTACAGCCTACGCGTACGAAACACACGGAACGTTTTGGGTTTACACCGTAAACAGGTTACGACGATTTCTTTCTGAAACAAACACCTTTCAAATGTTACCACTGTCTAGAATATGATGGGTGTAAGATTTGTAAGATTTATGTCGTCCACGATTGGTATTGAACAACTAGAGTATAGATGACCCCATTGCAACGCACGAATAATTAGCTAGTCGAATTAAAAGCTAAGCTTCGTGTTTGCTATTCCACGAGCTCTCCCATCTCCAACTCAACTAGTTCGGCCCGACCCACATGGATCGCAATTTCGTTGTTTGGTTTGGGCCAGCACAGGGGAAATCCCGACCCAGACCACGTTGATCCGCTCCATTATGTTAGGTCCAGAAGAATCGACCCCCTTCATGGAATTAATCCACGGGAGGAGAGCGAAAGAAACCTAGCGGAGACAAGGCGAAGGTGGCTATGGCTCAAGAATTAGGAAGTGTGGCAACATGATGCCTCCCACGACAACGACGGCTGCCTTCACTTCGGTATATTCTCTTCTTTTTCCTTGCCCTCGCCCAAATCTTCTTATTCCTCTCCTCGTAATGCGATGGCCGAACACCCAACCTCAAACGAACATAACACCCAACGCACTTTCACTGTCCCGGACCAGGGTTCTAAGTTGTTGCCATCAATGACGTCAGCGACAACGACACTAGCCGACCCTATGTTGCCCCGCCGCCTAGCCAGAATTAAAACACACGCTTCACGTATGTTATTCCACTAACTCTCCCATATCCAACTCTATAGAGTAGTTAGGGTTGCAAGGGGGATACATGTAACGCCCTCGATGCGGCTATATCTCCCACGTGTCGAAGCACGACTTAGAGGCATAACCGCATTGAAAGCAATGTCGCAAGTGAGGTAATCTTCACACAACCCATGTAATACATAAGGGAAAGAGATACATAGTTGGCTTACAATCGCCACTTCACACAATTACATGAATAAAGCATTACATCATCCAGATACAATCAAGGTCCGACTACGGAACCAAAATAAAAGAAGAACCCCAAATGCGACAAAGGTCCCCGATCGACCCCAACTGGGCTCCACTACTGATCAACTAAAACGAAACAACACAAAGGGCAAGATCTTCATCGAGCTCCTCCTTGAGCTTGGTTGCGTCAACTGCACAAACTCATCGGCACCTGCAAACTGGTTTTGGAAGTATCTGTGAGCCACAGGGACTCAGCAATCTCGCACCCGCGAGATCAAGACTATTTAAGCTTATAGGAAGGCTGGGGTAATAAGGTGGAGCTGCAGCAAGCGACTAGCATATATGGTGGCTAACATACGCAAATGAGAGCAGAAGAGAAGGCAAAGCATGGTCGATAAAAGTATGATCAAGAAGTGATCCTATAGCAACCTACGTCAAGCATAACTCCAACAACCATGTTCACTTCCCGGACCCCACCGGAAAGAGACCATCATGGTTACACACGCGGTTGATGTATTTTAATTAAGGTCAACTTCGGCTTTTCTACAACCGGACGTTAACAAATTCCCATCTGCCCGTAACCGCGGGCACGGCTTTCGAAAGTTCAAATCCCTGCAGGGGTGTCCCAACTTAGCCCATCACAAGCTCTCACGGTCAACGAAGGAATAGACCTCCACCCGAGACACTCCGATCAGACTCGGTATCCCGGTACAACAAGACATTTCGACAGGGTAAAACTAAACCAGCAACACCGCCCGAATGTGCCGACAAATCCTGATAGGAGCTGCACATATCTCTTTCTCAGGGCACACTCAGATTGTCTTAGGTACGGGTAGGCCAACCCAGAGTTGCCCCTGGTGGTCACCGGTAGCTGACAGTTGGACCAACACTCAGAGGAGCACTGGCCCGGGGGGGGTAAAATAATGATGACCCTCAGGAGCGCGACTCCCAAGGGAAAAGAAAAGGCTAGGTGGCAAATGGTAAAACCAATGTTGGGCATTGCTGGAGAAGCTTTACTTAAGGCGAACTGTCAAGGGGTTCCCATTATAGCCCAACCGCGTAAGGGACGCAAAATCCGGGAACATAACACCGATATGACGGAAACTAGGGTGGCAAGAGTGGAACAAAACACCAGACATAAGGCCGAGCCTTCCACCCTTTACCAAGTATATAGATGCATTAATTAAGTAAGATATATTGTGATATCCCAACAAGTAAACATGTTCCAACAAGGAACAACATCTCCATGTTCCATCAAGGAACAAACTTCAAACTTCACCTGCAACTAACAACGCTATAAGAGGGCTGAGCAAAGCGGTAACATAGCCAATCAACGGTTTGCTAGGACATGGTGGGTTAGAGGTTGAACATGGCAATTTGGGTGGCTGACAAGCAAGTGGTAGGCATCGTAGCATTGGCATGGCAAAAGAGCGAGCAAACTAGCATAGCAAAGATAGTAGTGATTTCGAGGGTATGATCATCTTGCTTGAAATCCCGCAAGGAAGAAGAACGAGTCCATGAAGAAGACAAACGGACGTAGACGAACGAATCATCACAACTCCGGAACGAAACCGAAGCTAACGAGAGAAGCAACCCGGAAAGAAACAAACAACATGGTAAACAACCAGCACATCAACATGGCACGATGCACAAACAAATGATGCATGTCCGATTTAAATAGGCATGGCATGGCAAAATGCATAAACAATCCTACAATTTAAGTGGAGCTCAATATGCAACGAGTTGCGTATTGACGGAACACCACAACAATTATTTAATTCGATCTCGTTTATGTACTCAACAATATTAAATGTTGGTTAACATGGCAAGAGGGTGAAGCAAAGTAAAACTACCTATCTAGTCAAGTTTAAATGAGGCCGGAAGCAACGAACAACAATTCCGGAAACTCCTCATGAGCATAAATTAGGTTTGGTACTGTTCTGCCCTAAACAATATTTTAGAGTTGTTAAACATGCAAGATGATGCCACCATGTTAAACTAGGCAAAATTCTACCCCATTTACATATAAAGTTTATTAAAATTGGAGTTACGGTTATTTAGTTATGAAATAAAGCATTTTAGCATGGCATAGGAGCAAATTTAAATAAACAGCAAGTTAAACATTTTAAACATGGATGAAAATGGCATATTCTTAAACTACACAATTTTCTGAGCAAGTTTCATATATAAAACATTTTAATCCGATGCACGGTTCATGAGTTAGTAAATGCATGAACATGAGGGGTTTTTCTGTAAAACTGCAGTTCACTGGATAATAGACAAATTCAGATCTGGGAAAAAACATGATACGGGCCGAAACTGACTGCAGCAGGCCCAACAGAAGGAAAAAAACAAAAAGAAAGGAAGGCGCTGGGGGCCTCACCCATGGGCTTCGGCCCGGCTGGAGGAGAGGCCTGGCAGGCCGGCTGGGGGGGCTTGCTGCGGCTGCAGCCCACGCAGCTGGCCAGCGCGGTCAACGCGAGTGGGGACGAGCGGGCGAGCGAGCTGCTCTGTTCGTCAGGAAGCAGAGCAGCGGCGGCGAGCTGGCTTGGCGGCAGCGCGGCGGCGGGATCCGGCCAGGAAGGGCCGTGGCTGGAGGAGGAGGTGGATCCAGCCGGATCCGAGGCAGGGAAGGGCGCGGACGGCATCGGTGAGGAGCACGGCGATGGGGCGTGATGCAGGGGAGACAGACAGGGTCCCGAACGG